TGAGATGCGCACGCATTCTACATCGATTCGGAATCGCAGCAATGCAGTGCGCGCTACACAATGCAATTCCTTGCAGGATAGCTTCGTTTTTTTTCAGCTAGCTCAGACATAAGCATCAATACCGTGTAGGCCCACTGCATCCTAGTACACCAGTTCTCAAGCTGAGCATAAATATTAGCGAATCTACTATAGTCAAAGAGATTCTAATATGAATTAGATTCCAAAGATGCTGATTTTCGATGGCAGGAAATGCCATTTAGAGGGACAGAAGTTCTAAAAACAGTATTTTTCGGGAGATATGTGTAACCATTAGGATACTCATAACTGTTATAAATTACGGCTAACCTTGAGTGAAGACACACCCATTCCTTTGACAATTCCAGCTATGCCGTAGGCAGCGCCACGACGTTCACCATAAGAATCAGCTTCGAACAACAGCCATTGCAGTTTTTGTATCAACGTCTTCACTGTGTCTCGAATCGCCGGAACCAATGGTGAAAGACATCTCGACACTGATTCTTGAACCTGAATGTCCGGCGATCATTAGCTGTCAATAACCCGCCGCAACTTTGCGCAATTAACAAAAAGTTCAAATGGATAAAGCTCTCAATGTTAGACAATCTCCTTCAGGTGAGATGCTTTGCACTAGACAAAAAAAAACATGCTTGAGCAAAAAGATGACTATCAAAGAAAGAAATGGCAAGCTGTACCGGTTGACTGGGGGTGGAGAGTGCTTCCATCAGTCGAGCTACAATGTCACGGACTTTATCAGAAGAAGGATCGAGATATTGAGCAAGGGTTCCGAGAAGCACCACCAATCCCTTGTCTCAAGTTGTCGTGCTCTCCTCCGCTTGGTGTGGAATCCGATAGCTGTTCTAGAATAAAACAGGAGTGGCAATATATCAAAGGAATCCTTCGCGGAAAATTCTTGCATTCTTTCCCAACATGAATGTGTCAGTTGTGATCACTGGAAACAGCACACAAAGTTTCACGCATGAAGATTCGGTTTCCGAAGAGAAACAAACTCACAAAACTACACTCTATGGACAATCGAAGGTAATTCGGGCGGAGCCAAAGGCGGGCATGGAAAGAAGTCGCCTTGGGGCGGCTACGTATCAGGCGACGCAATGAAAGAATCGGGTTAAAGCGTGCGATTTTGGAGAGTAGAGACAAATCGATCGATAGAATAGGATGCAGTAGAAGTGTGAGATGTTAATGCAATAAGTCAAAAGGCAAAAAGAGTTTCTAGTGACAGCACTCCGTGAACCAAGTGGAAGCGTTCCCGCCGCCAGCATTTGTGACAGATGTCCGGCGGAATTTGAACGCGTAGCAGTCCTTCCGGTTTCCTGAAACGTGGTAAAACTCCAGTTCGGGGGGGGGGGGCACTCCATTGTTTCTCCAATACTCAAGATAAGGATGAGAGCGCTCACGACACGTAATCGACTCATTTAAAGTAGACTTCTGGCTATTCGTATAATGTAGTGTGGAGGAATCCTGAGCTGCGCTCATGACACGTAATCGGACTCATTTAAAGTATGCTTCTGATAAATATTGGTGTAATGATGGAAAGAAACCCTGAATGTTTTCACATTTCCGCCTGCCATGACCCAAGGGAACGGTCCTGGACCAGGAGAAAGGACACCTCCGCAAAGGGCTAAGGGTGCAGGAGCTCCAGGGTGGATCACCTGTGCAGAAAAGTGGATGGGATGTGGGCAGGTAGTGTGGAATGTAGGACATCCACCGGTCCTTATCAAAAGTACGCTCGAAATGAGTCGTTCACTTATTATCTTATCCGTAGTGTTCGATAGCCCAAAGAACTGCTCTCTAGTACTACGGATAAGATAGCAATGGAGTGCCCCCCCCCCGAACTGGAGTTTCACCCGAATTGTTAACCAAAACAAAAGCAATTTTTGTTCTTTTCGTTATTATCGTGGATAATGAGTCTCAAGCCAGTGATTTATGGCTGAAATAGAATCATGATTTTTCCGCAAAGGATTCCTTTAAATGTCCCCACGGTCAGGCCTGTCCTAACTGCAAACACCTGTGGCATGGTACAGCAGCGAGATCACGAAAACCACACATTATGCAGTTAGATTTTTCGAAGCCATCACCTAGTGTGATAAGAAAATGGTAAACGTGCAATGGAATCAATGAATCAAATTTAGCACAAATTTGAAATACGTGATCGCGGTGAACTAAGAGATCTCGAATGCGGCAGTGCGGTGAAAACGGCTTCAAGTTACGAGCTGCATCCTGTGCGCAGCATATTGGCTGTGGGCCGCGCCAATAAAACAGCGTTCGCTCCTCCGCGTGAGCGGTGACTCAATTTTAGCGCACCACTACAGTTGAGCTCTCTTGCTAAAGCCCCCGTGTGATGCCTTATCAGTATCGTAATTTCTCACCTAAGAATGGCAGTAACTCATTCATGACAGCTCGACCGTGCTTTCGAATTACTTCTACGGCCGCATCTCGCATCCCGTTTCTACAATCAGCATGACGGTCAGCAAGCCCTTGTGGAACAACCTAGATAAGAATCAAAAATATTTTCTTGAATAGTAAAGGAATATTTCACTCAAACATAAATCAATCCTCTAAAAGTACCAATTTGATGAATTGCATTGCATCCTTGGCTTCTACATGATCTGCCAAACGTCCTAGAACTCGACCAACTCCACTACGTCTCGCCCATTCATCCACACTATCCGAGACCATCCGACCAACCTCATCGAAAATTGGTGGACGAATTTTAGCCAAGTCAGTGTAGACCTGAAAATTCCTCAAAAATCGCGCACTCAGTAATCAGCATTATGAACAGAGACTTTCATTCCTTACAAGCTCAGAAACTAAATTCATGATCCCTGT